CATAAACACAGTAGCCTTCTAATTTTAACAATGAAAATGGTATTTACATTTTTCAATTCTAAAAACATATCTTCATTTAATAGAAAAATCTCTTATTGGAGGAATTTCAGAATTCTGGTGAAAAATTGCAAGTAGATTTTTTAAAAATAGATATTTAATGTAGTATTTTTTTTTTTTTTTTTTTGTCAAATGTGAAAGAAGATATTTTAAATTATGCAAGTACCAACTCTCAACTAAAATGTGTTTTGAGTTTTATTAAGATATTTTTGGTAAGGTTCATGATGAACTTTCAATTTTCATGGTTGAATTTGAATATGGTTTTTTACTCAAGTAACATCTTTGGGGAATTTTCTTTTATGTAAGTGTAACACCCTAAAAATTTCAAAATTTAAATGTGTTTATGATATTTGCAAGTTGGGATAGAACTGACAAAAAAAATATTACATGCATCACTTCAGCATTGATCAACCTCAACCTGCTCAAGCACAACTAAACCACAGCTTAGTCTAAAGCAAAATCAGCAACTGAGTGACAATCAGTTCTTGGCATTTCAAGAAATCATGCAAAATATCTGCAACAAAGACACAAGCAACAAGAAGTACTTCTGAAACTTTTGTTGAGACTAAGCTGCTGCTTAGAAACAGGGAATCATTAACCCAGTCATTAAACATGGTGGTCCAGTGAAATCTATTAAAAATGTACAACAGGCAGTGGTGTGGAGGCACTGAAAGATCAACTTAAATGGTTCTCTTTGGTATCAAGATCAGCACCAGTGGAAGTAAACCTCAGCTGGAAGTTGCTCTTTGGAACTACATGACGACAGGGAAAATCAGCTGACTCATCTCCATCTCTTAGACAAAGGAAAGAAGAAAAGGCACTCAATGATTCTTAATATTTAAACAACTCTACCAGTTGTTATGAAGAACCACCACCTCAAGTGACCTTCAGCTATGAGTACCAAAGCTAATGGGTTGTAATATATTATGAATCCAGATTTTACATTGGCCAAGTCATTGATATTATATCTCTATTCAGTGCTCTGATAAGGTTTTTAGCTCCAACAAAGAGCAGAAATGATTATTTCTGATGGCCTTTGTCAGGGAATCAACATTTGCCTTAAGATGGGACTTTGAAACAATGCCAGCTTCAAGTGATAGCTGGATATGAAGTGTTCCAGAAATATTAAACATATCAGAGGCTTATGAGGAAATTCAGTTGGCAATTCCCCATTAGAAGTTCAGGAGAACCATTCACAATGTCCAGAAGTTCTTTTCTATCAGTTTAAAACGTTATTATAAAAGTATTTTGTTTGTTTTCCGGTTATAAAACAAATTTCTAAGTTTTGTAGTCCTTGCTGTCCTGTTTTTGAAGAGTTGAAAATTATATAATTTCATGAAATATATTGCAAAAAGTATTGATATTACAGGGAACTTTTTTTTTTTCTTGAATCCATCATCCCAAAATTAGTAAAGTTTCAGGTATGTATCACTAATGGCAAATTCAGTATGGGATACTTTTGACCTGTTTTTGTTCAACTATCAAATTGTGCTTCTGGCTGTTTTCATATGGTGCATATAGTTTTTTTTTTTTTTTTTTTTTTTTTTTTGAAGTACTACTGAGGAAAAAAATTGCTTCATCTCTGCTATGAAGTATAGGAAGAAGTTGCAAGGCATTAACAGTTGTAATCAAATTTATATGATTGGTCATATTTGCTCCTCTGTGTCATCTTTTTATGATTTTATTTTTGAGAACAAAATTTTCCCAATGTTTATGCTGATCTGATCTAAGAATTATTGATTCCATTAGTATCATCTTTCACTTCAAGACTACATATATGGCATTACATTTATAATAATTTTTAATTTGTGTCTTCAGTTACCATGAGACAAAAAGTTTTTATGAACTTTGAATGGTCATAACATGTTTGCTAATTGACCTACTGAGATAAATTTGGTATCATTTTTTTATGGCATGTCAAGATCACTATGACTGTATTAAAGGTTTTAGATATATAAAATTTTAGTTTGAGATACCTATTTTTAACCAAATTTTTCAAGGTTCTAAAAAGGATAAAAAAATAATTTTTTCATAAAAGAAATCCTTTGATCTTTCCTTTTAATAATACCACTAATAGCATTTTTTTTATCTCATCTCTCAAACAGTTTTTGATTGTTAGGACAAAGGTGCTAAATAATGAAAAGTATAAATGGAAGATATTTCTGGCAAATAACACATTACTTTTTCAAAATAGACCCACATTTAAAGGTTTTGTCTTTCTCTTTGAAAAATTATTTCATGGGAGGTTCTGGTTAAAAAAGCAAAAAAAATATGGCTGCTTTACCCTATGGTAAATACAGCATTTAATTTCTTACTTAATATCAATGTTTTAACAAGAAACTGATAAAGGCCACAATTGTACTTGGCGTTATGAAAACTTACATCAGGTTTATGTTAATGTGTAAATATGCAAAATGAAAGATACAACATTCTGGTGAAATATCAGTTGTATTTAACAATTGCTTTCTCAAATAATGTTAAATTATGAAATAACTTTGCTATAATTGGGTAATAGAATATCAAGGTGATATCAAATGAATTTTCTTTCACTAGTTAATATGTTACACACACACACACACACACACTGAAATGGAGATATTTGAAAAATGTCTTATGATTTCCAGCTGTGGTATTAAATTAAATTTCCACAGGGGACTCATTCCTTCCCAAATTTTGTAACTCAACACTTTTAATAGTTAACCCAGAAATTGTTGTATGATAGAACTTTAAGTAAAATTATTTAAAATATCTTAGTACCAATGGGAGTTTTGTGTTTAATATAGTTTCTTTGTTTACTTCTTGTATAGACCTTTGGGAACTTTTTCATGTTTTTTTTTTATGGGTATTCTTTTAAAGATCTAAAACCATAACACTTATTTTTGGCTGGCTTGATTTAATGTTACATAAGTCATCATCTGCCAACTTTTTTTTCCTAACGATAAATCTAACTTTTTCTTATTGGTTACCAAAAATGTACAACAGATCTTTATGGCATACTCACTTTCATGTTATGCCTTATAGAAGATATTTTGAAATACATTGTTGATATTTATTTTAATTCCAATTTTTCTCTTGCCCAATTCATTCTTGAGTTCTCTTCAGATTAAATTTGATCTGGTGCTGGATCTGTTGCCAGTTCTGTAATCTATCTGTAACATTTAAAATGATCATAATAAACTACATAAAAGAAAGTTTAATCTTTAAAAAATAAAAAAGGATTAGTTCATTTTAAGTAATATGAATGTTGGTGAAACAGACTTTTACAGATGATTACTGTTCTTTCATTTCTTCCATAAAATCTTCAATAAAAACCTTTTTTTATTCTTTTGCTACTTTAGTTTTTTTTCTCACTAAACAGTTTGGCTGTGTTAGTTTATTTTTTTATTTTATTTTTTTTTGTAATAATGAAAGTTTGTCCATTGTTTAAACTTTTCTCTTTATCCTACTTTCAACTGCAATTGTTATATTTTCTCATTTTAACCACTATACAGACGATCACAAACCATTACACAAAGTTTATTATATTACATTTGGTGCAGTAAATACTTACTGGCATATGATGAAAACCTATTCTTACTACAAAGAGTTCTACTATCTTATGAATGAAATGAAAATATAATGGCCCTTTTGTTACTTGCGTGGGAACCATATATGCTCGTGGGGTTTTCTCTGGACAACTGGTATAATGTATGCTTATAAATATGAAATTAAAAGAAAAATATTTCTTGAACTTCCAAATACTGCAATGGTATGTCAATCAGAGTGAAACCAGGAATTGATAATTTCTATTCAGTTTCTTAAGGAAATTTATTTGCAACAATATTCATCATGTTTCAGTTTGAACTCAATGTTTTCTGCTAACTTTTTGCATTGTGATTGTTTTGCTTTAGTTTCTTTGTAGACAGAAGCACATGCAATGTTCAGTAAGTTAAATTCATAAGATTTACAGCTAATACAAAGGACTGTTTTACTTACATCAGTGTCATTGTCAACAGCTAAGCAATTGCTCTCATTACTTATGGCGACAAACAGGTCAAATTTACTGTTAAAAAATCTCCACTTTTTCTACATTCTTTGCTATTATATAATGTAACATTTCCGGCTGTTCAGTAAAGTAAAATTAAATAAATTTGGTTTACTGTTCCAGATTCTTTACGTGAATGTTTAGAGAGTGTTCTTTTCTCTTAAAGGTTTCCATATTTTTTTATTTAAAATGTTTTATTTTCTTTAAAAAAAAAAAAACATAGCTTTTTATTTGTTCAGAAGAGAAAAATCTTCTTGCTTTATTACTTTTTCGAATAGGTAAATTGATTCTTTGCATTGATAATTCTTGTTGGGACAAAATACCTCTCCTACTTTATATTTGATATAAATGAATGGCTAAAACACAATGCACTGATATATTTATTTTAAACTATACAAAACTCCAGAAATGAATATCATTGTAGTTTGGATTCAAATGAGTTTACATGAAGCACCAGTATGATAAAGGATTGTGTGATAATTATAAGAATAGCAACATAAACAACTAAGAAATCTGTAAGGTTAACAAATTTTAATTACATCTTTGATAACCAAAGAACAGAAACTAAACCAAACACCTCCCTCTTAAAAGATTATGCATTTTATTTAACATTGCTTTTTATCAGATGAATATGAAAATGCTAAAACAACAATGGTCATTAGCACTTTAAATGTTCTTTTCATTTTGTACACCTTTCTACATGCCACTCTCTTGGTGCAATTACAATTTAACCCTCCTTTTTGGCTCTCAATAACTAATGGTTTTGGCAAAAAAAGAAACCATGATCATTTGTTTTCAACAATTTTCCACTTTGCTAGTCCTAAGCTATTGAAGAGTATTCTCTATTGTTTATTTTGAGGCCAGAAATATTTTTAATAGAAAAGTGTTTACTTTTTGTCTTGTTTTTTTTCCCTTACAGAATACCAAACACTCGCAACAAAGTGGTGCCATGCCACCCAGTAGAAGAAATTCAGAAAAATGTAAGTATTGTTTTCATTTATGCTTTCTCTTTTTGTTATAGATTTTTGAAAATGGTATTGGCTTGATAATTTTTCCAAAATGTCTTATAAAAAAAAAACATGTTTTTTTTAATCATTTCTACCCAAGCAAGGCAATAAAGCCACCAAGGCGCAAGGGATTACTGAGTGTGAGAGAATATGAAAAAAAAAAACTCTAAATAAACTCTGCAATAAATGCCTCACTGCTTCTTGCTTTCTTGTTTGTTGGAAATCATCTTCTGTAGTTCCAGTCTTTAAGAACTTGGGCAAACCATTTGATCTTTCTATCAACCAATTTATCCTTCTACCTCTTTTTGGAAAAGTAATTAACTCTGAATTGTTTAAGCATCTCACATTGCAGGGTCTTTTTTCAGATATGGCTTTTGCTTCTCTAGGCCAACAATTATTGCTGAAAGAGTCCTACAAGCTTTAGATAAGGATGTTGAAGCTCAGGCTGTTGTATTGGATATCTCAAAGGTATTTGACAAGGTTTGGTATAATGTTTTTTGGGGTTTTTTTTTCACAAGTTGAAAAGTTATGGTATTTCTGAATTAATTTTTGAACTGAATCAATATTTTTTTTTTATTAAATCACGAAATGAAAGTGGTTTTGAACAGCCACTCTTCTAAATCTTTTTGCATTTGCAGGGTGCTATACTTGAACCTACTTTGTTTCTAATTTTTATATATGACTTTCATGATGTAATCAATTATCAACTCTGTATCTATGCTGATGACACAACTATTTACTAGTAAGTCTGATCAGTTTGATAAAGTCAAATTGGCAGCTGATCTTAAAAATGACCTATAATTTGTTGTTAAATGTGGCAAGGAGTGTCTTGTTAATTTTTACACCTCAAAAATGAAACCACTCTCTTTTAATCATATGAGAGAATGCTTTTTACCTTCCATCAGAATGATCAGGAGAGTGATTCATTGTGCCTGCTCAGCCTAATGTTTTCCACTGACATAAAGTGGAAGTTTATATTAAATCAATTGCTAGGTCTGCAGCTAGGAAAGTTGGTTAACTGTGTCTGGCTAGACAATTTTTCTTTCCAAAATATTCATAAGTTTACTATTTGTCCTTGTTTTGAATATTGCTGCCACATCTGGTCTGGTGCTCCTGCTATATATTTAGTGGTTCTTAATAAAATCCAAAGAAGAATCTGAAATGTTATTGGTTCTGACCTGGCATCTCAGCTTCAGTCCTCTTCCTACTGCCATAATGTAGCTTCCCTGTGTTTTTCTATAAATACTTTCATGGTAATTGTTCTGATGAACTTCCCTCTACAGTACCCAGACTTTATGAATTTAAACACTGTGCTAGATTGGCAGCTTGGTCTCATTATTTTACAGTTGAAATGACTAGATCTAACTGTAAGTTCTATGCTAACATTTTCTTCCCTCTCACTTCTCACTTATGGAACTCTCTTCTAGCTTCTTGTTTTCCAGTCAACATTGATCTTCAAAAATTTAAATGCAATGTCAGTCGTTATCTACTGTCTCCTTAAATCTTATTCTTTTATTCTCCTTTCTCCTTAACACTCAGTAACCTCTTGGGGCCTAATGGCTTTATTGCTTTGCTTAGGGTGAAATGATTAAAAAAAAATAACTATTAAGGAGAGAGAAAATAAAAGAACATGGATTAAGAATATAGAAGATAACAATTGATATTGAATTTAAATTTTTGAACAAACTTGACTGGAAAGCCATTTTAGCTGTAAAATGATGAGACCTTGCCACCAATCTAATATTATGCTTAAATTCATGACGTCTAGGTGCCAAAGAAAAAAGTTCATTAGAACAATTATGATGAAAGTATTTATAGAAAAGGCACTAGGAAGCTATGTTATGCAGTGGGAAAGTTGCTAGCATTGCAGATTCTTCTTTGTATTTTATCAAGAATCTCTAAATATATAGCAGAAAAACCAGACAAGATGTGACACAGTATTCAAAGAATGAATGAATGGTAAGATTGATATGTAAGATTGATTCTGGCTAGACAATGAACCAACCTTCCTAGTAATTAATTCAATATAATTTTTCAACTTTTAACAGAAAATGTTTCCTCCTGCTGGACGTTAGCATCAGCCATGCTGATGGAAGGTGAAAAGGGCTCTCTCAGGCAATTAAAAGGGAGTAATTTTTTTGTTTTTTGTTTGAAATTAAGAATCCACTTCTTGCCCTTTTTAACATCAAATTGTAGGTCATCTTTGAGATCCACTACCTTTTACTGTATTGAACAGATCAAACTAATAGTTGTATCATCAGCATAGATAGTGAATTGAGAACTGTTGCCATAAGGAAAGTTGTTGATGAAAATTAGAGAGAACATAGGTCCAAAGATAGAGCCCTGGGGATACCTGCATTAATGCCAAAAGATCTACAAGACTGGTCATTCAAGATCACTTTCATTTCACGATTTGATAAGAAAGATTGAATCAATTCAAAAGCTCCTCCTGAAATGCCATAACCTTTCAACTTGTGAAGCAGTTCAGCATACTAAACCCTATACAATGCTTTCAAGATATCCAAAGGAACAGATCAAGATTCACCATTTTATCTAAAGCTTGATAAACTCTTTCAGCAATAATCATTAATACACCAGCAATGAACCTAGGAAAGCAAAAGTTATATTGCTTATTTGCAAGGCAAGATGCTTAATCCATGCAGCGTTGATTAGAGCCTCTAGTATTTTGACAAAAATAGGTAGATGGCTAATAGGTCGATAGAAGGATCAGATGGTTTGTCTGAGTTCTTAAAGACTGGAATTTACTCAATTCTTCTTTCTTTCAAATGTCTGTCTTGTTTTCAATGTTCTTCAACATTAAATGCATTATCAAAAAATTGGATCTAGTATTATTTTGAGCTTAAAATAAACAATAGACTGAATGATATATAAATGCCTATCTCTCTAATTCACTTTTGGAATCTATATATTTGATGTCTTTTGCTGAATCCTTAAATACAAAGCATCTTTGAGCTTTTCAGACTTCCTGGAAGAGTTTTTTTTTTTTTTTTTTTTTGTTTGTCTGTGTAATATATATACATTGACTGAATTTGTTTCAACAATTTCAGAAATTGCTCCAAAAAATTAATCTTTCAAACAGGCCAATTAAATTAGCAACATAAATACAATTGCTGCAAAGATGGAGTATCTATTTTACTAATTTCTTTTTAACTAATTCACCCCAAGCAAGGCAATAATGCCACTAAGACACAAGTAGTGAAAGAGATTGAAAAGACTTTAGAAGGAACCAGAAACCAAATCTTAAACAAAGAACAATAAATAAACCTCTACTCCTGTTCAAAAGACCTTTACAAAAGAATCTGTGAAATTTCCAAAAAAATAGCTCTCGCTATCCACACTGGGTAAAGAATCAACCAGCTGTTGTTTGCATAGAATAAAAGTCCAAATGTTTGGTAATACAATATACTTCTCTTTGAGATTTGTCTGACATCAATCACTGAATATGCAGGCCATATAGATATCATTTAAATATGGTGCAACAATATGTGGAAGATGAAAATAGGCACATATGGTTTGTGTTAGCACTTAATTTTTTTTTTTTAAAAGAAGTCATTTTATCATCGATGTTAACATGATTAATTCATAAATATAAGCACTGGCAACATTAGAATTATGAATTTTGGCATGTAATTCACCTCATTATAATGTCATCATTACTTTTTGTTTTTTTTCACTCCCGCAGTATCATTCAGCAAATGAATGTAGCAACTTTCGAATGTGGTTAATCTATTGGGCATGCATTTTGTATTACACATGAGTTTTGTAAAGAGTTTCATTGAAGATTTTGTATTATTACCACAAATGAATTTTAATCGTTTTTGAATTGTACGATTTAAATAGATTGTTAAATAGAAATTAGAATTCGTTATACATTCAACATTTGAAGAGTTAGAAAAATATAATAGCTAATTAAGTAAAACCCATATGAATAAATGCGAAATTGGATCTCAATTAATTTATAGTAATTTGGTGTTTACTTGATCCCACACAAGGTCGGTTTAAAGTGAGGCACCTGAGCGCATACACTCGGGCTGGGAACGAAAATTCCGTAAGTCCCCGCAGCCTTTGGCCTCGGTGCAAGCACTGATCCAACTGTCTGGTGCAATGAGACAGCATGGCCTTGGGAACTGTTCCCCAGGGTTTGGCACCTCTCAGTATAATTTTCCTCAGTTGCAACAGAGCTGCTCCTGAGTGCACTCTGCCCAAAGACAGAGATGCAACTGAGAGATGATAAATAAACATGTTACAAACTACTTTATAGTAATTTACACGCATATTTACTTTGCCTCCCCATTAAGACGAGATACATCACAAGGTGGGGACCTGAGCTTGTACACCCGAGCTAGGAACAAAAATTGCCTGAGACCCCACAACTGTTGGTTGTGCTGGCCTTGGTGCAAGCACAGATCTCTCTCTCTCTAGTGCAGTGAGTGAGCACAGTTTAGGCAGCTGTTTGCCAGGGCCGGGCACCTCTCAGTATAATTTTACCTAGTTGAGACTCTGTCCTTTGATGGAGCCACTCCTGAACACACTCTGCCCAGAGATGTAAGTGAAAGATGATAAATAGGGTGCTACAAACTACTTGAGAGTATAATTTACTTAACCTCCCACTGAATCAGGTTGTGACACAAAGTTAGTTTTTAACATGTGAACCTGAGTGTCTTCACTCAGGCTGCAGGTCTTAGTAGGTCATAGCTTGTCCAAGCTAGTCATAGCCATGATACTACCAGCACAGGGACGGATCCTTGAGAGCAATTTATACACTGTATTTACTCTGTTACCCCACTAGGACGAGATGTGACACAATGTCTATTTTTAGGTTAGGACCCGAGCGCGTACAGCCGAGGCAGGAACAAAAATTCCCCTCAGCCCCCACAACCATCGTTTGCACTGGCAACTGTCCTTTGAGAGAGAAGCCCCTGAATGCACTCTGCCCAGAGACAGAGATGCAA